AAAAAGTCTCTACTGAGTGACAAAACGTTTCTCCCACTCAGAGTGATACAGGATGAACTTTCTGGAGCTACATGATCACCATCACGATGTGATCTACATTAAGTTTGTCAAGTAATCCTGCTGCAGTCATCAACATTTTCTCGGTTTTTGCCCGTGTCTTTTTCTGTAAAGCAGAAGCACTCTGTAAAACGAGGACATCTTAGCGTCCACTGTAACCCTGATCAACGAAAACAGGAACAACCGCAGGTTTCTCTTCAGCCCTGCAGCCACAAAGAGTCAGAAGAATTCCTTCAACTTGCAATGACTTCACTCGTTTCTTTAGAAATAAAAACATTTTTAATTAGAGAAAAAAATTATTCACAACCATCCACATCCTACAGGAGCTTTAATAACTGCTGATATTTATAATCTTTCACTTTTCTAAAGCCCCATTCCTTAAAGACTGCTCAAAGTTGTTTTGCTATTAATTAATCCTAAAATTTACATACATCATTTGATCTTTATTATTAAAAGACTATGTAGCAGCCGTCTTACCTAATTATGGGACGATTTTTAACCTCAACAGTAGCTGGGCACATGTAGAAGCACGGTTTATTTGAAGATTTTCATTGAGGATTTAGAGTGCATCGTAGTGTAGCGCTAAGTTACAAACCATCTTCTTATGGCCTCTGGTGATGGACTCACCTTTGTGTTTATCCTGTTAGATAAACAGGGCACTCTGTACTGCAGTGGTTTGAATCGTATCTTACACATTACATTGTGTTCATGTAAACAGGGAGTCTTCTTCATATGTAAAAGGTTGTCATGGAGTTCCACAGGGTTCTGTGCGAGTATTTTTTACAGTATACATGCTACATTTAGGCAATATTATTAGAACCAGAAGCAGATGACATAAGTAAAACAATTAAACTACAAAAATATATACAAAGACCCTTTTTGCATATAAGTATATGGCCAGCAGGCACCAGTATATGTATATGAAGACCGTGATGGATCTTGGAGACTTTTTACCAGGATATACAAACATATATCGTATTTTCCACACTATAAGGCGCACTTAAAATCCTTGAATTTTTCTCAAAAATTTACAGTGTGCCTTATAATCCGGTGTGCATTATGTATGAATTCTTGTTGTGCTTATTTACTTTGAACTGATTTTATGTGGTACATATATATAAATCAGTCAAAAAATGCTTTAGTATGACTTTGGTAAGCTCCGAAGCCGCGCCGCTTGATGGCTTGTAGCATTACGGCTGCTGTAGTCAGGAGCCTCGCGGAGCAAAGTCAAACGAACACTGCAGCATCACTGAGAGTTAAAAACTGTCTAAATTCTTTCATCTTCAATAAAATGATCAGTTTTGCTGCTTTACCAGGTGTAACTATTAAGTTTAACATCCAGGCATCCATGACAACAGAGTTTATTACATTTAACTGAGTTAGAAGTTAGCAGGAAGTTAGCTCGCTAGCTTCCACCTAAACATGATATAGCATGTTGTGACTGAGAGATTTCTGAAAAATTAAAACGTACAGCTCTGCTATCACTTCCAACATAAATGAAGACAGGAAACTAAACAGCAGTGATGTTTGTAGGGTTACTGAAGTTGGGCTAGCTGCTATATAATGATGTGCTACATGGTGGCTAGCTACACAGCTATGTTAGCATAAACAGTGAAGCTGGAGGATGAAGCTAACACTTTTCCACTCGATAAAAGTTAACGTGAAGGTTCCTGATGGTTAGAGACAAATACAGTCGCATGGCAGGATGCTGTAAACGGGCCAAACTTCAGTCAGGAGAACAACTGAGATAATCCATCCACAATACGAGGTTAGTGATTAATATACTGCAACAACATGGGAATAGAGCAGCTACGAGAGAGGTACAGAAGTGGAGGAAGCAAGAAGAACGAGTTCAGTTCAGTTGACTTATCTGTTTTGTTTCGCTTAGCGCCTTATGGTCCAAAAAAATACAGTATGTAGGTTTGCTTACTTAGAAAAAAAGAATAATGTAAAATTGAACCTTTAGTTGGATCTTACTAAAGCTTCTTACAGACTGCAGTGTGTAAACTTTCTTTGAACGTTGTGCCTGAAAAGTGTTCGGTCAGTGCAAACTGCAAAGATGTTTTTAGAGCTCATCGCAGTAAAGTCAGGTGTGTCAGTCCTTTGATTGATACGTGTGCACACACAGACAGACAGGCTGCTGCTAATATGAGCAACCGAACTGCACATTAGAGTCACTGAACTAGCATTAATCAGCCCACCTGTGCTGGCACGCTGCACCTGTACAGTCTACTACGAACACTTAAATGATGCAACCACACTGGCATTAGGTAAAGAATTTATTATAAAATGTATTACACTATAAAGTGTCAGCAGTACTAAGAACATGGCATTCCAGGACATGCTAAGGATGTAACATAAATAGCAACAGAAAGATTTGTGCAATGCGGCGATTATTCTCCAAGGAGGAAAAGTCACCCGACAGTAAAACCGAGTCGGTCCCTCCTCGTCGACAGAAACATCTCAACCTCAGCAGAAGCTTCCAGGGAGAAGAAACCGAACAGACAAACTCATCATAGTGATTCTCAGTTTTTACAAAACGATCCTCTGAAACACAGCAGAGTCTCTTCCCTTTCCAAACGCCACCTCTCAGCTCGTGTACTGTACAAGGCAGAAAGAGGAATGAACGAGTGTGTTTTAGGCACACAACATTGGCAATGATTATACACAACTCCGACAACAGCTTCAATAAAAAACAGAAAACTCAAATCGCGTTTCAGATCAGTTTGGGACATTTCCTTTCCTCGTGTTCCTGCGCACATGTTGGCGTCTTTGATTCATTTTTATTGTCACTATATGTTTAGGAAAGATGTGCAGTACATTCATTTTTGCCTCAGCAAAAAACAAACAGCTTAACAAAAAGCTTTGCGTATTTACATCACAGCTAACAGTTTGCTGTGTTGATTGGCGAGAAGAAAGTTTAAATCTGTGACCAGACGGTAACACTGGAGGAAAGAAGCTGACAGCAAATACTGCACTCTGGCACGGAGCTCGTCTTTACACAGCGCGTCCTGAAAAAGTCCTTTACAGCCGTCAAATGTAACTTCAGGAGTGAAACCGTCCGACGCACACGTGCGCTGAAAAACAAGCTGTTTTCTTCTTCAGGTTCAGAGTGAGGGGCACAAACGTTACAAAACACCAGCTCGCACAAAGTGAAAATGCTTTTCTCTGACATCTCTGTCATCAGCAGCCTTTGGCCTTTTTCAGCTAACAATACTAACATCACGCCGCCGCTTCCCTGTGCTTGTGCTGACCGCGGCCGGGCTGCGGCTTCATGCTTCACAAAGACAAACTGAAAGAAGGCATGAAGCCACGCGCGGCCCGCCGACAACGAAGCTCAAATTTAGCTTGACAGAGGTGGCGTGGATGCCACTGTGCAAAACTCTGACCGCGGACGGCAGCTTGATTAATGACGCCCCTGCGCCGGCGATAACGCTTTAAAAACCTGATGAGGAGGCATCGAAGAGGCGCGGCGTCAGCGTCTACTGTAACCGCTGCTCGTTTAAGAGAAGTACAAAAGTACAGAAACCAACCCAATTATAAAAAAATCACCTTTCTGATTAGAATTTAGCGTTTTAGTGAAACTTTCTATTCAAAGCACTCAGAGTGAGGGCGTCCTCAGCCCACCCTGTGATGGGTTAAACATTTACTTTGCAGCTTGTTACACTTTAGAAAGGTCAACATGAACCCAATACCACACAGTCCTTTAGAAAACCCTCCTTTTCCTGTAAAAATGGCTACGCTTCCCTTTGTGTGAATGAAAGATGTTTACAGAAACACTGATGTTTACAGGTCCCAAAGTTTCCCTGGAGTTTTCAGGAAAAGGAAGAAAAGGAATCGCAGATATTAAAATGCGAGTACAAAGCAGAACGTTCTGTTTCTAAGGTTTTGGCTCCGGGGTGTCCCCATGACACCACAGAGACGGGATATACCTAATATCTTAGGCACTGAAGCCCCGCCCACCTGCTATTCTGACCTACTTTTAGAGAGGGGCAGCCAATCCGAGGAAGGCTAGCTTAAAGAGAAAGGGGCAAAACCAGCTCATTTCAGGCCGAGCGGCTGCATTAAGGCCCAGCAACAGATAAATGCGCATTAGTTTGCACTGTGGATCATGCAAAGCTGCTCTAATACACCAGACTGCTGTTACTAAGTAAGCTGCTCTGGATTGGCAGATAAAAGTGAAAAGTTCTCTTGAATATGCAAATGACATTTACATTGACATGGTTTGATATGATGTGCACTCAGAAATCTGTTCATCTGATACAAGTCGATGCTTAACTTGAGCACAATTCTGAAGCTCCGGGGAAATCACAGCTGCACACGTGCCAGAGGTCTGAACAGCGATCTGAAAACAGCAGCTGTGATGGTGAAGGTGAGGTTTGACTTAGACTGTCTGAGTCCAGCAGACTTTAAAGTCCAACTGGAGACCAAAACTGTAATAAGACAGAGTTTATTCAAAGACATTCACGGGAAGTTCTGGGACCTGTAAAGGTTTCAGCTGTTGGATGGAAGAATGCAGAAATCTGAACTGAGGATTAGCAGGAACATCAACAAACACACCAATCAAACATGAAGGAAATGGTTCCACCCACTGCTGACACGTGTCGTCTCCACACATCTGTGTGCGTTTGCTTTTGTGAAAAGTGAAACAGCACGAGACCAGGTCTCCTTTATTTTTATACAACATGGTCTTCTTCGTGTTAGTGACAGCCGCCAGATAAATAGACGTGTTAGAAACTCATTTTACTTTTATATCAACAAGGCACAGTTCTCCAAGCATCTGGAAAAGACTTCTGCTTTGTACCAATGAGACTGGCTGTGCTCTTCAGGGAGGTAGAAGGCCACCAAGGCACTCTGAAAGAAATGCTGTAAATGTATTAAATGCTAAGCTGAACGACCAAATTTCACATCAGTAAACCAGAAGCGAGGAGGGAGCTGATATTAGATGTAAGCGATGGATGGAGCGAGCAACACGACACACACTCAGCCCTCGGGTTCGAGCCACACGTGCAGCTGCCATCTTTCTGACCGCACGCGGAGATTAGAAAACGGCGCCGTTCCTTGGAGCGAGACTGGAGTGTGCGTGACAGCAGGAGGGACGTTAGGAAGCAGCAAACAACAAGATAGAAAGAGAAGAAAAACACAGAATTCCTCTTTGGAGCTCGGAGCGTTCGGTTCTTTCACGACATTCGTAGCGGGAGGAAAGCTCGGCTGTACAGGTGTGGAGAGCACAAACACAACATCTGGTTTGCACGGCAACAAAACGGAGCGATTAAAGTGTGAGCAGCTGGACCGGAAAGATTGCACGAGTCCGTCGTGTCAGAGCGACCTCCTGACGTCTGGCGGGGACAGCGAGCCCTCAGCGGGAAATGACGGAGCTGATGGAGTTGTACGATGTGCCGCCGTTGCAGGTTGGCGGGTAGCCGTTGGCGGCTCCTCCCAGCGCCTCCGTGTTAACCTTAAACACGGGCGACGCTTTGAGCAGGAAGTCCGCGGCGTCGCGCCGGCCGAGCTCCCTCAGCTTCGCCATCAGTACGCCGACCCTGCTGCCCGCTCGCCCGCTCCACTCCTGCAGCAGAGCCGCCGTCGGGCTGGGCTGCAGCGCGGCCTGCTGGGAGTCCGAGTCCAAGTCCAGCTCAGAGGTGCCGTTTGGAGTCCCGTTGCTGTATTTGGCCACCAATTCAGTGAGGCCCAGGTTCATGGCCAGCAGGCACCAGTCTTTCCCCATGGCGTCTGGAGGGTCCAGCATGCGGCACAGCTTCCGGCGAGCCAGCAGCGGCACGTCCGATATGTGGACGTTCGTTCCCAGAATCCCCTGCTGGTAAATTTCAGCGCAGCCGAACGCCAGGATGCTGCTGAAGCTCTCCCGATAGCCGCCCATGGTGTTGGTGAGCGAGGTCTCTCGCTGGACTTGAGCCCGGAAGAAGTCTTTGGGTTGGTAGACCATGATGGGGGCGTGGTGTTCCCGCAGCTGCTGAGGGCTCAGGTAGTATTTGGCGGTGAGCTGTCCGGGCAGCGTGGAGGCCAGCAGGTTCTCTGTTATACTGCAGAGGGTGTCCAGCAGGGTGTAGCACTTGGCCCGCTCAGAATCATGTCCACGGACCTGAATCTCCACACCCTGCCCGTGGTTGACCAGGAGGATCATGGCCTCCACTCCTGCCTGGCTCACTTTGGCGCCGTTGGTCCACAGGTGAATATCTCCATCGTTGTCGTCGGCGCCGTCCTCCTCGGGCTTCTGCTGGTGGCTCCAGCGACACAGGTTCACCTGCAGCTTGTGGAAGAGGCCGCAAGGGAAGGGAGTGAGGTGCTCGGCCGGGACGATTCGGACGCCTCCGTAGAGCAGCGACTCCTCCTCCTCCTCTTCGGTCCAGGACCGGTGGAGGCCGTTTGTCTTGATGAGCGCGGGAACATCCACCATGGTGGGGTTGGTGACGTCCCGGGCGCAGACGTCCATGGCATCCAGGATCTGCAGCAGCTCGTCCACGTCGCTCTCAGGCGCCAGGGCCTGCACCTCCTCCAGCCTGTAGCGCCCCCTGTAGTGGTGGATGGCTTTGGGCGTCTCCACGGAGAGCAGCTTGCCGAGGATGCTGCTGCAGAGCCATCGAGGCTCCAGCAGGACGACGTCCTGCACCGTCTCACTCTGCATGATGTTGATCTGTGGAGGAGACGAGGGAGAAATGTGAGCGCGTGGACGTTTATCAGAAAAATTAATGTCATGAGACAAAGACAGAATACAGAAAGAAGCTAATAAATATTTAAGGAACAACATTAAATGGAACTTTTGCTTTATCTGTGAAAAACATGCAAATAAATAAATAAAGTTTTGGTTCCTCATTCAGCTTCCTGAGCAGAGGCACAGAAACAGAACACAGTGTTCCTGCTGCTGTTCTCACAGATGAAAACCATCTGGTTTGGTTTATTCAGGAGCCTGCAGTGCAGTGCCCCCTGCTGGCACTCAGGAGTAAAACACCGACTCCTTTTTCCTGCTCCCGGTCAAACACTCACCTCCCCCATGCTGTGGAGCTGCAGGGCCAGCGTGCGCAGGTGATCCTGGCTCACCAGCGGGTTGATGTGCTCCTGCACGTCACTGACAAACTGCTGCCACGACATCAGCTGGTTGGGTCCGCTGAGCTTCCTCCAGGTCGGCAGAACGGCCAGCAGGCGCTCCGACAGCAGCGTCATCGGACTGCACCTCTGCAGAGACGGAGAAGGAAGCGGCGACAATAAACGACCACGCTGCGTTTGTTCAGGTATGAGGACATTTAGAAACAAGAGGACGGCGAGTGAGAGTCTGCAGAGCTCACGGAGACGACGCTGGCTCGAAGCTCCTGCAGGTGACTCCTCAGCAGCTTCATGTCTTTAGAGTTTGAGGCTCCAGCGTCCATCACAAACAGTTTGTCACTGATCTGCAGGTCGTTCCCAAACCTGGACCGAAAACCAAAAACACCAAACTTTGTAACAAATCACTGAAATCTGTGTGATTAATACGTCTAATTTATTCTCTGCAGGGATTCTTTGAGGTCGCATCGACTGTCTTGACAAAAAGCCGCTCGCTTTTTTACTCATCAACATAATCTCCACTGACTGACGGCACTTTAACTTTTTCAAGCATAAACATCAAAGCAACAGTAAAAGATTCTCAAGCTCTCCTCTCTCTAGATCTGGTTTTACAAAACATTAGCTCTGCTGTGTTAGCGGTGAAACTGCTGACTTTGCTATCTGCTGTCTGATCAGTAAGGCTGACACGTACGCTCGCTGTGACCGGATCATGTGACTGACGTGATTTAAGCTGGCACCGCTCGGTGCAGTATGGAGAGGAGGTGCTCTTCACCTGTTCCTGACTTCCTTCAGCAGCGCCCTCTCTTTGTCGTAGCTGAACTCTCCGGAGAACGCTCTGGGAACGTCGGCGAGGTCGGCGTGCGTCGCCACCAGGACGACCGCGAGAGGCTGCTGGATCCGACCACCGAAAGCTGAAGAAAAGTTAAGATTGTGAACCGTCACAGTAGACAGCTTATCATGGTCAGGTTGTGTAACTTTCTGGCTGCTGCAGCAGCAAATGTAGTTCCCACAGCCTCGCACGAAACAGTTTAAATGAAGCTTCAAAAAGGCCAAAACTACTCAGGAAACAAAGACTTTCAAACCTGCCGACTCTCTATCGTTGCAGCTTCTACTTCCTGTCTGCAGATCTGCTCCTAACCTCAAACATATCGATGTTTTTAAGAAAAAGATTAAAGTCGACCATCCACCGACCGCACGAAGGCAGTAGATGGTTGGTCTGCTTACAGATGCTTTCCTGCGGCAGGGTGAGGGCCTTCAGCAGGTTCAGCCAGTAGGTGATGTGGCCCAGCTGGGTCTCGTACGGCTCCTCCAGGCTGAACAGGACCACGTGGATCGCTGTGACATCGTTGGCCGCAAAATAATCGTAGGTGCAGTAGTAGACCGGGTTTCCAGAAAACTCCCACACGCTGAAATCTCCCACGCCTACAGAGAGGGAGCCGAGTGAGCTTTGCTTGAATTTCACATACAGGTTTAACCGTGGACGTCCTCCGCGGGGATCCTCGCGGCTCTCACCGTGGATGTTGGCGTGCTGGATGTCGATGGCCTTGGTTGCCTGTTCGTCAGCTGCAGACAGAGCGCTGTGCACGGGGGAGAAGACCTCCAGCACGCCTTTGGTCAGGCTGGGCTCAAACATCATGCTGCGGCTCCTCACGCTCACGTTCTCACAGCCGGGGTACAGGTTGGAAATGCTCACCGACACTGAACACAGACATGGAGGAGAAACCATGACAACCACCGGGACTACTTTCAGTTAATGCAGAATTTTTACTGATTTTTATTTAGCAGGGACACACAGGAGAACCTGCAGCACTATGTTGCTGTTAGATCAGGGAATAAATCCTGACTTTTGGCTGCACAGTTTGAGCGGTGATGGTGTTTAAAGACACAGCGGCTGGTTTCTGCTCTCAGAGGTTGTTGTTCTGATCTCTGCTGTACTTCAGCGCGCGATCGACTGTGACTAACGCTCAAAGTATTTCAGATTAAGTGCAGATGTCTCTCTCTGCTGCAGCAAACACATCTGCATCATCTTTACCAAATAACCGCCGCTTGCAAACACAGGGGGGCGCCATTTCCCTGCTAATGAATCCACTCTGCAGGGACAGTTTGGATTTTCGGGACCACACCTACAGCTTGTTTTTGAGGTCTTAATCACAGTAAAATGACATCCTGGTCTTTGGGTGATCACAGATCAGTGTGACATCATCGCTGGTGTAAAGAGCTGGAGGAGAGAAGATGTTTGAGACGGACGATAAATCGGGGAAAACGCCAGACGCACGATGGTTTTTCACAGCACAGCGAAGGACAAGTCAGAAACTCAGGCACATCTGGACACACATCCACAAAACAGATGTTTATTTCATCCGAATGTTTTCATTTCTGATGGGATTTTATACTTGAATAAAAGATTGGAAAGTATTAGTGGCTGCAAATCTTTTAATTCCAGTCGTTGGGAGGCCAAAACCTTTGTTAGATGTGCATTTTGTGAAAAACCCGTGTGTGTGTGTGTGTGTGTGTGTGTGTGTGTGTGACGTTTTCCTCTCTGCACTAACATAAAAGCTGCCTCCACCGTTTCACAGTCGGCTGTCACGGCTTCAGTTTGAACATGCAAGCGTCTGCTCGGCACTGCAGACGACGATGATGATGAAGACTTTATCCTCCACCAACTGGCAACTGCAGAAAACAATGAACCCATCTCGTCTTCTCTCATCCTAAACGTGAGGAAAATGTTCTCACGTCCTGGTTTTTGTGATCGGTGTAAGATGAGTGAAATCCTTAAAGCCAACAGGTTCCGCTCATTTTCTCGACGTGGAGAGAAAAAGCTGTTTTCATGCCGTTTAACGTCGGGCGGTTCAGAGTTCAGTGAAGCTGCTCATGTCTTCTCTCGCTAACAGGCCTAAAAAGAGCGCCGCTTTTACGGAGGAGCACCTTTCACGACGAGGCCTCTCGTTAATGGAGCTCCGCGACATTTCAAAGTTCGCTACAAATAAGGAAATAAAAGAATATATCAGCGCACGCCGAGGCTGAAAGCCACAAAATCAATATGCAGCGTTCAGCGGTCTCGGGAGGCGACGCTAAAATATCGACACTTGTGTTTCTTTGTCTTTGGCTGGATTCACGTCACGCATCGCTGCAGAAACAACAAACGGTCGATACGGACCGGCGCTGACTCTTTGAGACGCCGGCAGCCTCACAGATGGAGGAGTCGGCTCACGCACCTGACCGTTATCAGCCCGGGCGTCACGTAATGGCTGCAAGCGGCGCATAACAGAGCAGCTAAAGGGGAGACGGGGTGGGGAGGAGGGCAGACACTAAACACGTCGTCACTGCACTTTCCTGAAAACCACGAACACCTCACAGACCTCAAGATCTCCGAGCCTCAGAGCAGCACCTGAACCGTTTCCCTCAGCAGACAGTTGTTCCATTTGTGCTCATCTATCATTTACTCCAGAGGATTATTATCAATTTCACCCTGTGAGATTCAAACTGCATCTCAGTACGAGACTGTGGGGCTCATGTTCATGCTCACATCAGAGCAGCAACAACAGCTGCGTCTACAACGTGGATAAAACGAGACATTTAATAAAATGACTCACGCTGAAGTTTTCTGAGACAGATGTGCGAGGGAGACGCCTCCTCACAAATAAACGAAGGAGTCTCTGTGTGCCTTTCTTTGCTTTTCCCAACCAACATTCGCATGTGTAGCCGAAGGGTGATTGGAGGGGGTGGAGCCTTTCAGAGCTGTCACCAGGTGACACACACCTGTCTGTACCTGCACAAACTCAGGATCTTCTTGCTGTGAGGGGGCGGTGCTAACTGCTGCGGCAGTGAAAGCATTAATGCTGAGCTGCTGACGACGCGACTCCACCTGTCTGTCACCTACCGGGAGGTTTGGAGTTGACGGGCGAGTTGGGGTGCCGGGCCGCGTTGGTCATGCGCGTCCTCCTCCTCCTGAAGAAGCTGCGCAGGATGCCGCACTTCAGAGACTCCAGCAGCGTGCTCTTCCCGGCTCCCGAGTGTCCGAAGAGCTTGAGTTTGATCCGGGGCTGGACCGTCTGAGTGGGCCGCAGCTGCTGGATGTAGCTCAGCTTGTGGTTGTCCTGAACCAAAAACACACCACAGAAGAAGACATCGACAGCTCAGGTCACAGACACCTGTACACGACTCCCACAAGGCCCCAAAAATCACATGACACATTTCAACTAATCAGATTTTGTGCTGCTGCACATTATGTCAGCTTCAAACTGCAGAAAAGCTTATTTAAAAATCCACATCAGCGTATTGTGTTGAAGAGATATCAGCTGATGTGGAACCAGAGCTGGGCTGTGCTTTAGCTCAACGCCACAGGCAGCAGTGTCAGCTCCATCCAACAAATCCAGTTCATTCAGTGTTATTTACACAGCGCCAAATCACAACAACAGTCGCCTCAAGGTGCTTTAAATTGTAAGGTCGACCCTACAATGATACAGAGAAAACCCAACAATCATATGACCCCCTATGAGCAAGCACTTTGGTCGACAGTGGGAAGGAAAAACTCCCTTTTAACAGGAAGAAACCTCCAGCAGAACCAGGCTCAGGGAGGGGCGGGGCCATCTGCTGTGATTGGTTGGGGTGAGAGAATCAAAATCACTAAATGCTTTTATTTTGGTGGATGAACAGGAGAGTTCCTGTGCCTCAAACAAAACGCTCCATATCTTATGTGTCTATAAATACTTCAGTTATAAAACATTTAAATGTGACAGCATTGAAACGCCGTGGCTGTGAGCGGCGTTACAGGAAATGCTTTCTTCCAAACATCATCGATTCTTCAGGCTACGAGGACGGTTTTTAAAACTGCTCTTAATGTTTGTGTAAAAATGAAACAGTGACTCAGCCGCAGGAAACATTTACAACAAAAGCCGGCTGCTTGCTCACGCCGCCGTAGATCTGACAGCTCGATGGAGCCGTTTAAGACGTTTCTCTAACCGTCCAATGAGTCACGCATCAGAAGTGGCCCCAAACGCTGCGAGCGGATACGTGGGATGTGAACGCGCTCCTAATCCCACCTGGGTTATGCTAACGTGTCAAAAAATAATTCATTTCCAATTTCAAAACGTGTGATTCACAGAATCCGGCTTTAAAACGAACGAGTTCTCGTTTCAAGCCGTCGGGTTTCTCCCCCTCTTGGTTGTCAACAAGTCGGCCTTTTCAAACGTGCCAAAGTGTCTGAGATTAGCCCAGCATGTGCAGACGGCGGCTGTTTTCACAGCTGCTGCTTCATGTTTTCACCAATTCTCAGCAGGTTTTCTAGAAAAAAAGAGACGTGGGCATCACGTAGCTTTAGACGAGGAGTCTGAGCGTGTCCTGGTAGCTGTGACCGGGAACACCGGACGCACACACACCGCTGTGGAGGGTGAAGCTGGTCGTCATGGAGATGAACGGTTTGGCTTTCACCGAGCGTTCGTCCTCTCACCTGCACGTGTCGAGCAAACTGCGCCCCAAAGTCTAAAAACGGCGGATCGCTAAAATCTAACACCTCCCGTCTTCCCGAGACGTCTCTCTCCACACCTCTGCACCGAAATAGACCAAGTGTGACGACTGTGAAGCCCGACTGTGCCTCATCACCCCACCATCATCATCATCATCATCATCTGCACTTCCTAAACCGCATTCACAGCATCACATCATTTTGTTTTATAGCCTCATTCTTCAAACAAGCTCAGCTGACACAACTTGGTTCAACACATCAGTCCAACTCGAGCCTTTTGAGCCTTTTTCTTCCTCTTTACCTTTTTAAGCTTTCCCAGCAGCGACACGACGTGCTCGTGATGTTCGGCCGAAGCCAAATCCTCCGCCGTCTTTCCATCCTGCAGGAGGAAAACAAAAAAAGTCAGGTCTTTAGTAAACATCACATCTCCTCTGGCTCCTCCTCAGCTCCACTGAGGACATTCGTAGCTCGAGCACAAAAAAGACACGTCTGTAAATAACTTCCTGTTAAACCAGTTCAGCAGACGCTGCTTTTACTTTAACTGTTTCCCCCAAACTTACATCACGTGTTCAACCAGTTTAGATCAGAACCAGCAGATTAGATACACAAATCATTTATATTTGTATATTTATTTACTTGTTCATCATAACAGGAAATTCAGCAGATATTTTGTTTTGATCGACGCTGACGTCTGCTGTTAGTGATTTATGAGTCAGCTGCTTTCATTTAATGAATGTTCTCCAAAAACATCGACGTAAATCAGATCGATGCGCCTGAAGTGACCTTTGTTTGTTATGACAGTTATTCCTCATCACGCAGCGTCGTCTCTCAGCTGATGTCAGTGGATTAATTACACACACACACACACACACACACACACACACACACACACACACACACACACACACACACACACACACGTTACTTTCCCTCTCCGCTCCAGCGCTCCGACACAAACGCCACATTCCTGACAGCGTTCATGTATCTGGCACTACCATCTGTCACTGTCCGGCTCGGCTGACGCTCCGCTGGGAAAACCTGCACGGACGCCTGAAACGCCCACAGAGCGCCGCCGCCTCCTCCCAAACAGCTCTGTGATGAAGAGGAAGATCGACACAGCGTGCTCACTGTTCGAATGGAAAGCTTTAATAAAATCATTTCTCCTTCTTTCACGAGCACGACTCTGTGACGATCGGACTTCGACATCGTCGACCTCTCGAGCCGACTGGATTGGGTAAATGAAGTCTGAGCATTTAGACGTGTGGACGCTCTCGCGGTGCTCGCCTCACACAGATGGCTGAGTGTCACGATTATTACTACTGATGCCTGGCAGTGACAGATGAACGCTGGCGTTATGTGAGGAATATTAGATCATCCACAGTATTTCCAGCCCAGACTAAATGTCTGCTGAAACGGAAGCTCGGGAACGACGAGTAACGGTGAAATCGCAGAGGCTGGAATGATTTGGAAGAATATTTCAGCCTCCACAGAAAAAGCAGGCAGAGATCACAGAGGCACCGTTGTCCTCCCTGACACTGAATTATACATCCCAGTGTGCGCTCCACATGAAACATGCACAGCACATCAGCTGCCATACAATATTAACATCCCGGGAAGGCAGAGCGGGAAAAAGCTCAGCGCAGATCGTCCGCTGCTGGAACCAGATCAATTCAATGGAATTCATGAAAGAACATTATGCATCAGGATCGAGCAGAATTAGATTTGAGGCTCTGAGACGAGTTTCAATGACGGACAAAAACACGTTACTTCTGATATCGGCGAGAACGCTGGAAACATCTGGAAATCATATCTGAACAGGCTGAAAACATCTGCACAATAACAACTGAGGTCATGTTGTGAGCTCTGGCAGGAGAAGCAGGGAGGCGCCCGTGATGGAGGCTGACGCGCCGACCCTGACGTGCTGAAGGTCTCTTTCGGTCTTTGGCTGCTTCTTCGCTCACTGTGAGTCCAGTTCTTGTACCGAACATTTGACACGAGTGTTTTTGTTTGTTAGAGACTTCAAACGATCAACATTAACATTCACATAAATGAAAGTTTAGCTCGTGACATAACTCTTTCAATTACGTTTGATTTATAAAATCACAATAACAGTTCTTCATAAAACCACTTGGATCCTGGACGCGGCTCGGACGAAGTCATCTCCTGGCCTTCGGCGTGGAGCAGCATCAGCTCAGAGCGCTGAGCTTTGAACGAGAAATAAAAATCCTTTCGGATCTAAAACGATTGGACATGAACTCCCACTTATCCGTGAAGTCAAACCCACTCAGGGCTGAATGTGGAACCGTTTGATCCCGAGCGCTTGGATAAAAGCTCTCAGCCCGCGGCTGCTGAAGCCTTTAACGCCTCACCTGCCGCAGACTCGGCACAAACGTCTCTGTGCAGTCACCAAATCCACGCTTGGATTCACTCGTCTTAAATATCTCATCTGCACAACAACGAGGCCGTTTCTCCTGCTCGCTTTCTTCTGCCTTGCGCAGCAAACACAGTGACAAACAGGAGTCTTGCTGCACAATCTCCTGAACAAAGCTAAGCGCTCGTAACGACCCCACAGACGGAAACTACAGGAAACGTCTTTGGAAATGAAACATTCTTGAAGTTGTGCTCACAGTTTTTTACTTCTTGGACTTTCAAAGAGAAATTTTAAAGCCCCCAAACATGTTAATAACTAATGTTTAAAATCCTCAGCAGACTTTTCATAATGGTGCAGCTCTCAAACTGCCAGCTGGGATTTAAATATGCTAATAAGAGTTTAAGAGCTCAAAGCGAGAGACTGTGAGGGAAGTGGATGAGACACTGCAAGGAAGCTCATCAGGGTTCAAGAGGTCGAGAGAACTTCAGTAACATGAAGAAAGAAGAAACATGGAGAAGGTTTCGCCTTGAAAACCTCTGAAAGGACGAGATTATTAAAAACAAAGAGGTGGTGCAGCTGAGCCGGGCGGAGACGAGGGCGGAGGTAAGGGAACGATGCCAGAAGAATTTCCCAGTTTTACTGAGGATTCATGAGCGGCGCCTTCGTCTGCAGCCCGAGCAGAAAATGAACAATCGCCACGCAAACGATATCTGAACAAGCACGGGAGCCACGTTTCAATTTACATACTATATGAGGCGTGTCGGCGTGGACCACGCCCCCACCACACTCCAGTCACAGATCGCAGCAGCTTCACGTGTGAACACATCCTACAGACCAAAGGGCTGCACTGGGTTTGAGTCTCATCACAATGATGACGAGCTGCACCCGCCCGAGCGGTAAAACAGAGAGGTGCCTTACGTTGGTGACGGCGTCGATGTTCGCTCCGGCCAGGCAGAGATGGCGGACGACCTCGAGGCTCCCGTTGTTCGCCGCCAGGTGGAGCGGAGTTCTGCCGGACTGTGACGCACAGAGGAGAGAGGAAGCAGCACACGTCAGCGCCGGACACGGTGAAAGTCACGCACACAATCATTCATGTTCGCTTTGACACTCACAGGTTAGTCTTAATCACTGAGGCTGCTGAGCAGAAATGCTCCAATAAGGATTCCTGAAAACGCCAAAACCTTCTGAGCGTGCTCAGTTTAAATGTTGAGGCAGAAGCTTTTTAAGAAGCTCACGTTCAGTTCTTTTCAATAAATCAATAAATAATCTCTGCGTGATGTCATACAGAGCAGATATCTGATGGTTTTCTCAGGTGCACATTTCTCTATGAGAAGCCCCACCCACTTCCTGTTAATGAGGAGCAGCCAATCAGAAGAAAGCTGGCAAAAATAAAACGTGGCCCTCTTTAAGCTGCCGTCACTGTAACACAAATGTGGAGGAAAAAGAGTGACACAAACACTGAAATCAACATTCATCACATTTTCTAAACAAACACTGAACGGCGTCCCCCTCCTGCCTCGCGCCAACTCGGCCTAATTAAGCGCACGGTCGTGCTTCGGCGGGCTGATCGGCTGCTCGCTGTTCCCGCTGCGGTCGCTCGGCCTGAAGAATAAAACTGCTGATTAGAGCAGGAACACAGTGCCCTGAAAACAACGCTAATTACTGTAAACACCATATAATTGCCATCAATTTCATACCACAATATCTCATAAATCCAGAGCAGTTCGATGTTGATGTTACAGTAAAAGCTTTGGGATTTAATCAGAGCTCAGTGACGGAGGCGTTTCAATCCATTCTCCTTTGCAGCAGTTTGGAAGAACATCCACCCTGTTTTTGTGATGCTGCAAACTGAGCTGGAGACGGTTTCAATCCCACCCTCTTATTTCTCTGCTCGGTGTCTGCAGCTGACAGCGAAGACCGACCCAGAGTCAGCAGCCTGTGATTCGCTGCTTCACACGAGCTTAAAAGAAACGAGCTCCAGCTGAGAATAATGAACCACGACGTCTCTGGCAGCGCCGTCTGCTCCCGATGCACATCGCCTCCCTGTGCGACGCTGAAAACACGTTTCTGCAGAAAAAGCCGAGAAAAGCTTCCCCGTCGCAGAATCTATTTAAATGTATGGTGTCAAAATAGAAAGTAGAAGCAGCGCAGACAGAAACATGCGGGAGGCGAGAGGGCGGGAGCTTCAGAGGTGTGTGAGGAGGGCAGCAGATATCAGAAGAAAGACGATTTTAAAATATGTCAGCAGAAAACAGCCCGTACCTCTGTAAACTGCACTGCGTTATGTTCTACTTCCTGTGTTTTTATCAATGCTCCACCTGCGATTAGGCCTCATTTAGCTCAGCTGCTAAACAACCACCTAAAACACTCATTTAAACTCGTCTTATTTTTCTTCAGCTACATTTGCTCTGCAGCAGCTCTCAGGTCAAACTATTCTAACTCCTTTACCTATGAGAGATTTTCCTCTCATTGGCTGTTCCTCACAAACCGGACAGCAGGTGGGCGGAGCTCTGTGCTCACACAAGTGAGGCGACCATATTAGTCTGTGAGAGCAGGGATTACTGGCACAGACACCTCATCATCTGAAACTGTGGTCAATGTGGAGCAGGTCTGACTCACAGCTGAGCTGATGGGGTTCGATTTAAAGGAGTCTTCTTCGTGAGGAAGATTACTTCATGGATCTTACTTCCTGCAGAGCGTCAAGCTGAGTGTGGTTCGGTCAGCTGTCGTTTACTTCTGCTCTTCTTGTGCTTCTAAGACTCCTGTGACAGTAATGCAAAACGCTCTGCAGCCCATCTGCAGCACGATCCGCAGGGCGAAGGCTGCAGCGCCGAGGCTGCTAGCTCAATCACTCAGGTTGGTCACGCAGAGCGTGTTTTATAAGACAGAGACACGTTCGGCCTGACTCATCAAGGTGCTGTAACACATCACATAACACCGGCATCGCTGAGCTGGCGCTGAAGTAGATGTGCTTGAAGGTTATGTAAGAGGAGAGTAAAAACAGAAAGCGTATTCATGTTAACGGCATCGGGACGAAAAATAAAAACCCCACACGCTAACATCAGTGTCTGAATGTGAGGGAGGGGGCGGAGCGCAGAGTTAGGAGGAGGTCCTTCACCTCCACCTTCGCTCTCAGGAGAACAGCTGTGTCTGAAAACTATGTGAAACCACCAGTCCTCTCAGCGCGGCCTGGGAACGCCTCAGGGAGCGTATCCGGGCCGTCTGGGGGGAAGTGCTTGCACTCACCTTGTTGGGGAGGTCGAGGCTGGCCTTAGCATTGCAGATCGCCATGACGACGGGCAGGTTTCCATCCTTGCAGGCGATGTGGAGCGGCGTGTTTCCGTGGCGGTCCTGCTGATCCACTTGGCAGCGGTGTCTGAGGAGGCAGCGGACCACCTCCACCTGACAGCGACGCACAGCCAGGTGGAGAGCTGTGTGTCCTTCCTGGAGACACAAACACAGACGGGTCAGTGTCTGTGACCTGCACAGGTGGTGAGACCTGTGTGCTGTGAGACCTGTTAGTCAACCCTCGCACAAAAACACGTAAAAGTAAAATGTGCCAAAATAAATCAGGCTGAGCTCTGGGCACCTTGTCGGTGGTTTCCAGCTCGGCTCCGTGCTCCACCAGGCACTCCACGATGTCCACGAAGCCGCGGGCAGAGGCCGTCAGCAGCGGGCTCTCCCCCTCGCGGTTCTTGGCGTCCACGTGGCAGCCCGCCTGGCACAGAGCTCGGGCTACCGGAGAGTAGCCGTGCCAGGCGGCGCAGTGCAGCGGCGTCTCCTGCTCCTGCAGACAGAAACGTGGAACGCAAAGATAAAACCCCGCGGCCCTCGAACAACCCCTCGGTTATTATTCCGATGCCGTCGCTGCACTCGCTCACCCTGTCCGTCAGGTCCGGGTTGGCTCGGATGCTGCACAGGTAGCTCACCACATCCACGTTGCCATAGCGAGCAGCCACGTGTAGCGCCGTCTCGCCGGACTGGAGGTGACCAACAGCCAATATGTTAATAACAAAGCAGCAGATTAAACTAGCAGTAAGCTAGAAACGATCAAATTGTGTCATAAAAGTCAAACAAAAGAACAAAAGAAGCGACTGTGTGTCTGTCGCTCACACCCACCTGACTGACACACGTGACGTCTAACACGTCTGTGACACGTCGGACGGTTCAGATAAAAACGGTTCCTATGAAATCTCAGAGTAAAAGTATAAACGCAGTGACAGAGACGAAGCTTTGCTGGTGTCCGGAGGATTCCCTGGAGAACCTTCCTTTCAGCTTCGGGAAGTGAAATGTTTATTATTCCAGGCGCTGGTTGATTGCACGAGCTGCTAGACGGTGATGAGAGGTGATTGACACGCGTGCAAATTTCCTCTTGCATGACAAAAACAATGTGTGAAAGACTGGAGGAGACGACACGCGGCACAGCCTCTGTTTCCATCTTCACCCGAGAGCAGCGAGCGAAAGAACAGGGCCGAGGATACAAGCAGCGGGAAAGAGCTTCCTCAGAGGGCGGTCCTCCATCACCCTTAGAGACGGGTGAGAGCTCCACATCAGTGTCCCCCAGAGGAGCAGGGGGAGGTAGCAGGGGGCCTCTGTGATCCTGACACCATAAGTGGGAATGCTGCCTCCAGTTTAGATTCTGTAGTTTGGTCAAACATCCCAGATTTTCCGTATAGTAGCCAAAACCTCCAGTAGATGTGAACAGGGAGCAGCGGACTCACCTCCCTGCTTCTTGAAACACAACACAGAGCCAAATGTTTGCACTGCATGCACAGACCGTGCACAGACCGTGCACAGACCGTGCACAGACCGTGCACAGACCGTGCATACCAAGCGTGGACGCTGTGGATGTTGACTCTGACTAGAACTCTGACTCCGCTTCTGTTTTCGTTAAAAACTGACCCACGAGTTTCAGACTTGGGGCTGGCAGTCAGCGTAAACGCTCGTTAGCAAGACGACGTGTTTACTTGTTTCTTAGAGACTGAGTCACTCTGAAAAAAAAGGAAAAACCCTCAAAGAGCGGTTTAATTTGGCGAATTACATAAAAAGCCGCCGCAGATTCACCTTGTTATGATAAACCTGAAAGGTCCTTTGGCTTCTCTGTTCTCACAAAGCAATTATCTAGTTCCACACAAACGCCTCGGCTTGTGATTTGGGGTTTATTGTGTAATAAAGAAAGATGAAACTTTAACGACGCCTGGACGGGAGCTGGAGAGTAATCAGCAGAGCGCGTGCAGCGCAGATTAGGCTCCGCCTCAGCGTTCGCAGACAGGAAAGGACACCTCGTGAAGATCGGAGAGACGGGAAAACGCTTCTGGGATTTTGGACGCCCAGGCAAGGCACGCACACACACACACATCGAACAGCACACACACGCACACACGCACGCACACACACGCGCACACACGACACACACACGCACACACACACACACACCAGCACACACACGCACACAGACACACACAGACACACACGCGCACACACAACGCACACACACACACACAGACACACACAGACCACACACAGACACACACAGACAGACACACACACACAGACGCACACACACACACACACACACACACACACACAGACGCACAGACACACACAGACACACAGACAGACGCACACGACACACACACAGACACACACACTGACGACACACACACACACACACACAGACACACACACGCACACACACCACACACCCAGACACACACTCACACACACGCACGCACACACACACACCCACCCAACCCCACACACACACTCACACACACACACAGACGCACCAATCCCATCTCTCCCTGCAAGGCCTGTTTCCATAGCAACAGCAAATAAGCTGATAAAATGCCAGAGTAACTGGTTTTCTCCACAGGTGTGGAAATGTGAGAGTGTGAATGTGTAAAGCTGTGTGTGTGTGTGTGTGTGTGTGTGTGTGTGTGTGTGTGTGTGTGTGTTTGTTTCTGGGCATTTCAAAGTAATGCTTCTCGAGGGGTTTGTGGGTAGGAGGCAGTGAGTAATTGCTGACAGATAACAGAGCACGATGAGTCGTAGTAAGTGTGTGTTTTTCCATGTGAGTGTGAGACGTGCAGAGAGGAAGGACCTGCTTTTCTACCTTATCTTGCACATCCAGCGGGCATTTCTTGTCATGGAGGAATCTCAGGGTCGCCACGTGGCCGTGTCTCGCCGCGTAGTAGATGGCGTTGGCTCCGCTCTGAGGGTTGGAGAGAGAACAGCGTTGCAGGATTTATCCCTGACCTTTAGTAAAGAGTCTGCAGCCACACGATAGGAACGCATCCTTGGACAATACTGTGCCGTGCTCTCTAACACGTTCTGAGGATGTGCTTGGATGTTGGGCTCAGACACAACGTTGAAGCTGTGGTTTCTAACCGGAGGAACGAGATCAAAACACGTTCTTCCATTGTTTCTGCATAAATTCATAACGTCTCTGTATAAATCTCCTGAACTCGCTGCACCGATGATGACAGAATGAAACTTTATTTAATGGCAGCCTGATGCTGTAAGTCAGTGTGTGCAGCATTAACCTGATTTCATGTGTGGCACTGAAATCAAATCAAAGGCAACGAGATCTCTGCGTCAGACTTCAGAGACGTGACGTCGACCCTGGTGTGGGTCAGCAGCTCCAGACGTCTCTTATTTTCTAACATCTTGGAAAACAAGGAAGGACCTGCAGCTCGGTGCAAGCACAGAGTGACTGCACGGCACGATGAATGTTTGTCAGGGAGAAGCTGCTGCGGATGTTCAGCTGCTCACAGAACTTCCAGGAGCTGTCGGCTATCAGAAGGGAAACGATTTCAGGCTCTGCTAAAGTCTTCCTCCCGTCTCTGACGCTTCACTGATGAAGATGCAGCTGTGACAAAGAGTTTTAGCAGCAGCACAAGTTTTGTGTTTGATGCACTTTGTTGGTTCTGAACAATCTTAAGCAACTTCATAAGTTTCAAAGAAACAAGTCGACGTCAGCTGTCACATGTGGGCTCTGACCGTGCTGCAGGCGGAGCCCGCAGGGCTAAACTCAACCCTCACGTCTACATTAGCTTCTGATTTTTAAGAAGAAGAAGATCTCACACTTTTTCTTATTTCAAATTAAAATGTGTTTATAAGATATGATAGGAAACCTCTGAGGCACCACAACAGCATCAGTGCACGCAGAGCAAGGACGAACCGACGATCAGAGTCCATCCCAGCATGCACTGCGTATGAAACAGCCAATCAGCAAAGAGGAGCGGCTCTGATCACTCGACTGTGTTTGATGTGTTTTTACCATTTCTGTCATTACACAGGCCCAAATATTCACAATCACGAGAACCTTCATTATGCAACGTCGAAGCAGGTTTGTTCCCTGAAATATTGATTTTTTTATAATATTTGATTTTCAAAAAAAAGTTTGCTGTTAGCATCTGAAGCTGTCCTGGTTCACAGCAGGGTCAAAGGTCAGCTGTTATGTGCCTTACAGCTCGTCCATGCAGCCTTCGTCACAGCAGGTCCGGCTCTTACCTTGTCGTGGGCCCGGATCTCCGCTCCTTTCCTCATCAGGACCTCGATGATCTGAATGTTTCCACAGCCGGCTGCGATCAGCAGGGGAGGAGTCCCGTGCTGCAAAACACACACACGCGTGTTACGCTTCCTGTTTATGTGTGAACGCTGCGTCTTTAATCTGTGCAGTAAAGCTCAATCTGACAGCCTGTAGTTACACAGAAAACGTGGCGAGGAAGTAAACGAGACCGAGGTAGAAATAATGAATGAAAATGGCGAGATGACCTTTTCTGAATGAGTCCCTGAGCAGAGACAGACCGAGCCGACGAGTCTGTCAGTTACCGACTCTGCCTCTGGTTGTTCATCCTTCCCCTCCTCATTTCTTTCCTCTTCCTATTTTCTTACACTTCACTGAGCTTAATGGCTTCTCGTCCTCACATCGCCCGCCAAGTCCTGACATGTGCCCGACCATCAGGCTGCGCGGTGTAAAAACTAAGCGTGTTTTAGTTTCTGTGTAATCATGCCCAGGCTGTGCTTTGATTTATAAAACCCATAAAACGCTCCCTCGGTGCCACAAACCGGACGTGAACACGCCTCCCTAACACGCTGCACCACGAGCACGTCCTCCGCCCACATTCACTGATGTTCTTTAATGAAGACGTGATGATGCTTCACAATAACACTTCAAATCTGCAGATTTCACCTGTTTACACACACGCAGTGCAAAAGTCTGCAGGTGGCAGATGAGCCTGGAAGCGACTGTGGGCCCGACTGTGGAAACACGCTCTGTGGAAACATGCTCTGTGGAAACACGCTCTGTGGAAACACGCTCTGTGGAACGTCAGTGTTTAAAACGTCAGGCTGTTTTTCTTCTGCTGTGTTTTGGCTGCAGGACGGGGCGACCTAGTTTCTGGGAAGCTGGCAGCTTTAAATAAACATGGAAAAGACACAAAGATTTTTATGGAGATCTTTGAGACGATTCAAGCTTTCAATTTATTCTTTAATCAACTTTTAATCTGTCATGATTTTGTCGGCGTTGGGATTTGTTGGATAAGCGGTTAATAAAGTCGAGGGATGGTTGTGTCAGACTTTATTTTCCTGGGTGGATATTCCACTTTGCTACGTTTTGCCTCGGATGTGAAAGCAGGATTGCCGTCCACACAGTGTGGAGCACAGCTCAGGCATGTAACTGTGACAGCCAATCAGCTCTCTGCGTCGATCAGAGCTGGAACAAGCCGGATCAAACATCATCACAAACATCATTATGCAACACGAGGCTGCACAACAACTGAATAATTTCTCAAATTATTTGCATGATTCATCTGAATCTGGAGCACAGCGGTGCAGTCCAGCCCACTGGATACTGTGAGACGTGCCTGCAGTGGAATAACTGAGATCTTCAGTTTAATAAATCGCTGCTCCCGCTGAGCCAGCGTTCCTACACAGCTGTGAAAAATGCCCGAAAAGGGAAAATTATTCCCTGATTTTCACAATTTCTTGGGATCATGAAGAATAAACAAGTTATTTAGTTATAAAAATTGCAAATGTGACGGTTTTATCTGTTTGAATGGTGACTTTGTTACATGTGAACGTTTAAAGAAACGCCGCTCGCGCTCGTGTGAGTCTGACCCGTTTCCCAACCTCAGCACAAAGCCAACTCGTTACCGAGTCTTAACCTGGTCCCAGCGCAGCGTCTGAAACTCAAAGCATGACTTCTCAGAGAAAGATGGAGGCAGCGCATCCACAGCTCCACACACACACACACGAGTCTCTGTGTGGATGAATCAGGGTGGCGCCTGCTTCACTCTGATGTATTCAGTTTTGAACAGACACACTGGCAGACGCGCTTCTGCGCCACTGCTTCAGATTCGTTGGGTTCAGCAGGAACGAGCTGAGCGTGTCTGCGTCACCTTGTTGGGCTGGTTCACATCGTAGTTGTTCAGCGAGCCGAGGAGATGCTGCAGACCCGGCACGTTGTCGTCATTTATGGCGTGGATGATGGCCTTCATCACAAAGGAGTCTTCCTCGTCCTAAACGGGCGAGAAACACGGTTAAAGACATTTAATCCTCTGCTGCTCACTTGATCTAAACCGAGAATCCAGCGATTACGACTCTGTCAGCGACACGTGACCCGGTCACCTTCAGCCAGACTCAGCCGTGCAGCGCAGCAACCGGCCGTGCCGCCTCGCTGCACAAAGAGACGACGATGAGCGAGGCGGGGAGAGAGCGAGGCTGATGTGGCGTTTGCTCAGCCAAGCTCGACTCTTTGGCCGCATTCCTCAACATAACCTCGCTGCTGGGCGAGCCGTGACTAAAGCACCTCGGAGAGCTGCAAACAGCACAAACATGCACGAGCAGCGAGGCCCTGCTGGGAGCTCCATGCCCACCTCGTTCACACACATGTGAAAAAGACCTCCGGGTCTCGTTGTGACCTCCAAAATACACAGAAATGATTTAATAACTGCAGTCAAAGAAGCGGCCTTCCCACTGCGACGGTAACCACACTCATCCATTTATTCATCGAGTGGTGATGCAAGCAGACGCTCAGCAAGAACGAGCTCTAATCACATGAAGTCTTTCTGCTTCACAAGTTCAAATGTTTTTATCCAAACTGCAGAACAAATACCTGAATGTGTGATTAAAAAACAAGACAGACAACAATCAAAAGGTTCATTTGAGGAAGAAACCAAAACAGTCCTGCAGGAGCATGCAGGAATAATGAGCTGTCTGAACTAGCGGAGCTGACCTCGGTAACATGAGCTGAACACGTGTAAACACTGCAGCTTCTGTGAGAAACTTAATTATTCACAAAGCCGTCCCAGCAGGCCGGGCTGTGCTCAGAGCACGAACACCCACCTGTACCTGCTTTTCAGGTAAGTCACTAAACCGTGCCTGGAAGTCTCCATCAGAGAGCTTGTGTTTGTTACCCTGAACCACAGGGGGCGCTGTGACCTCACCGTGCCCAGACCTACCTGTCAGGTCACCTGTGACGGCAGGAAGCTGCTGTGTAATCCTTCGATGACATAAGAGGGCCGGCCCCGGCTGCTCTGTGAATGATTGAGCTCCTCACAGAAGCTGCAGTGTTTACATCTGTCCAGCTTATCGTGTCGACTGGAAACGGACACGCTAACGTAAAAGCCTCCGTGTGTCCGAACAAGCTGACTCATCATTTACCGCAGACGGACGCACGCCGGGAGCCTGGACACCACACACACACACGTTGGGTATTCATGACCTGTGGGGACATCTCACTGACATAATGCTTTCCCTGGACCCTAACCATGAAAAATGAATTCCTAAACCTCAGCCTGAACCTTACCATAACCAAACTGTAACTAACACTGAAACCACACTTTGAATCTCAAAAATGGCTTCAAACTTGTGGGGACCAGGATTTTGGTCTCCATAAGGGCTGACGGTCCCACAAGTACAGTAAACCTCCAGACACACACACACACACACACACACACACACACAC